ATGCATGGCATGTACACACTTGCGTGAGATGGTCTCCAGGACCCATGCAATATACGCTAAATTGTATAATCTATTTAGATAAAGATGCTCTTTCATATGGGTAATGCGTGATTGTGAGCAGGGTTGTATACCTAGTGATTGTGACTGTGAACAAAGCAGTGGGATGGGAACTTTTCTCGGTGAACATGTACTCTACAGAATGTCGAATGCACATCTTGTAAGTCAAACGAGCCTACCTGTTACATGCAGCGCCTGCACAGGGGCCCCATGTGAGGGGCCCGATGGTTGCTGAGGGGCCCCCAGGCCACGTGCCATCCAGCACGCGCCCTGGAGGCCTACGACGGATTTTTAGGCTGCAGGCACAACTTGAGGCAGCACTCATTTATTTATTTATTTATTTATTTATTTACTGGTGTGCTGTCCTATTTTTGTCTGTTCAGATGTCTTTTTGGACTTGCCTTGGGCTGGGTGCACCAGAGACGGCCGAAAGAGGCCCAGGCGCACGTTTGTGCCTTGCTGCATCAGCAGCACGATCTGGACACCCGGTAGGTGCCCCGACCGAGCAGGCCGTTTTCAGGCCACGCTACAGCACACCCAGCTGTAATAAGTCTTATTCAATCCAAGAGCTAACAAATCTCTCGATAGCTTAGCTGTGGCGTTCGGTCTTTTCTTTCGTTCTTTTTTCTTTTTCTGTTTGACTTTTCTTTTTCCCTGACCTTGTGCTGACCCGTAGTTTACTTTCAACCCTGTCCATTGTGCCACCGGGATACGCCCATGGCTCTGTTGTGGCTTCCCTCCCCGTGTAACTTGGCCCGTCTTTGCCGGTTTATGACCCTGTCCATTGTGCCACCTGCATACGCCCATGGCTCTGTTGTGGCTGCCCTCCCTGTGGAACTTGGCCCGTCTTTGCCGAGGAGTAGACTCAAAGCACGAGACTATACAAAGTTCACAAACGCAGCGGAAGACTGAACATACATCTGACACAGCAATATCAGAATCTACAATGCACACTCATACATGCATCACACAGTGAGAAGGGGGCAGTGCAGCATACGAGGAAGGGGTGCTGTCCCCTGATCATCCTAGGACGAAGTAGGAGGGAGAGGGAGAGGGAGACGAAGGGGGAAGAGAGGGGTGAGAGGCCAAGTCGCAAATGTTGCCAATCCTGAATGTCCTGAAGTCCCAGTCTCGATACATATCCAAAAGCTGGTCTTTGCCCGAAACACCAGAGCAGGTGTGGCATACTGCGTAGCCACACCCCTACAAGGCCTGTCCCGGACATTCAGCCTAAAAGCCTAAAACTTAGGGCTTACAGGCCCCATTCATTTCAGCCTGGATGCTGAAAAACGAGGGCCTGCAGGCCCTACCTCGTTTCAGCCTATTTCTGGGTCTTTTCAGACCCAGAGTTTTCAGCCTGAAACGGAGGGCCATTTTCAGGCCCTCATTGTTTCGATCTGCTCCTAAGACTCAGGCATGGAAACAGGGATGCGGAACAGGCCCAAATAGCCTGTTCCTCACGTACTCGAGCAGGAGCTGCAGCTGCAGCCCCTGCCTCCCTTCGGCAGGCTCAAGAGGCACACCCGGAGTACATAGGAGATTCCCATGCACTTCACTGGTAGGTAGTGTCTTCAGGATTCGGCTGCAGCACTCAGGAGGAGCGCTGCAGCAGTCTTCAGCGCTAGGCAGTAGTGGTAGTGCTAGCTGTAGTCTTCGGTGCTGGGCGCCATAGCTGTAGCTGTAGTCTTCAACGCTGGGCGCTGGTAGGTAGTAGATCGTAGAGTGGGAGAGAGACTGGCGGAGGCTAGTGTTACTTACCTATGGCGCCATCGCTCCAGCTCCATCTTCGTGGTACCTGCATCAAGGCGCCAACTTCACAGGTTAGTACTGGACACAGAGAGAGAGAGAGTTCTTCTTCTTCCTCTTCTAAGTCCACCTCTTCTCACCCTCTCGCCACCTGACTTCTCAG